TCAATTTTGCTTGGCTCCAGAATTACTCTTTTGAAAAGAGGATTATTTCCAGAACTTTGTGATTTTTACTTCTTTCTCAGGCTCTCATTAGAACTTCTATTTGTTCTCACTAGTTTCATACTTTTGATATATTTTAACTTTTGTAAATAAAGACTCATTAAAGGCCTGCACAGAAGTGCAGTTTTCTCATTGTTTAATGAGAAAAGACTTATGGCAGTAATTTCTCAAACACATAGAATTAAAATTAATTATCCTCTCTTCCTTGAAGAAATTGTCAAAGTGATTATACAGTCAAGTTGAAATTGCATTCTCTCAGACTCTTGAATTATTTCCATTGGAAGGGTCCCAATTGTAGAGAGATAAAACAGGATTAAATTATAACCCAAAGTTTCAAAATTTTAAAGCTCAGAATTTAAAGATGTAATATTTAAATCTCACTCAGGATACTAAGAAGAGATTTAGGAAGACAAAATGTTTGTGAAAACCAAGTTAAATCTTCTTTACAGGTATAGTGCCAGTGTGGTTTTCTTCTAGAGTCAGAAACTATAAATGGAAATATTAATAACCATTCACAGTAGAAAATGAAATTCTGACTTATTATTTCATACCTGGAACTTATGTTGTTTCAAGTATTATTCTTATATATAGCCAAAATAAATAATTAAACTGATTAACTGTATATTTCATGACTACAAGAGCCTTGGAAAACACATCTAGAGAAGGGAAGATGGCTGCCTATGGGGTGACAGCAAGGGTGAGTGTCTCTGACCAGCACTGATGAAAAGCAGGTACCTGTGCTAGGAGCAAAAGATAACATCTGATAAGGAAAGATAAATGAAAACAGCACCTGGCTGGAGCATACTCCACTGTCTTGGGGCATGAGAGGGGAACCTGTATCTTGGCACCCCATCCCACACCCAGTGTAGTGCCATCTTGGAAGAGGATCGCAGAGGGAGGGAGCTGGCACTTCAGGAAAGGGCAGATTGGTGGTATAGCTTCAACCCCTCTAACCTTCCTAAGGGGCACAGTGAGTGAGACACAGGCAAGCAAAAGCAGAAGAAGGGGACAGCACAAAATGTCATGCATCAATGTCCTACACACTGGTGTCCTAGAAATAATAGAGCCCCAGGGTCTGTGAAAGGTGGGGCTGTGGGGAGAGAGACAGATTGCCTAATGCAGACAAAAATAAGTTCTCTGTTCCCCTCCCATACAAAGGGAATGTGACACACCTGGGACATTCAGTATGGTATCAAAAATTGCCTGTGGGCTTCCAAGAGGACTGGGGTGAGCACCCCCTAGCAAGGGGCTTTGGGAGGCAGGGGAGTCCCAGCCTGTGACAAGTATTTAGAGAGCAGGCAATTTCAGTGAGAGGACAGACAGAGATGGCACTCAGGACAGAAGGGATTGGGTAGAGATGTCAACGCTCCTGTTTCTCCGAAGACTGGAAAGTCCCAAGGTGATGTGAAGTACTGTCACTGCCTGTGCTGGCAAGGTAGACCTTCTCTTGAGCCTGGGGTAGCACGATGTTTTAAAGGCAATACTGAGATGGACAGAAGTCTGTGGACAGAGAGACAGTGATGAATCTGGGTAGAAGGTCTTCCGGTCGTGTATGGTAGGCAAGAAAGTCCTGTGGGAGGAAGACAAGGAGACGGCTGCAATGTTTATCAGGTGCCAAAGGAAGTAGGAGGTGTGAGGATTCTAGGAGAGGTTGATGAGGAACACAAGAACCAGTCGTTGGACAAACTACACTACACTTACATCATCCCAAATCGATTGAGGAAACATAAGAAACAAGGTACAAAATGCCATCAAGCTCCCCAAACTGTCCTAAAGCAGATCTAAAGGGCATCAATGGAGAAGAGATCGAAACCAAACAGCTGAGTTACATGACTTGATTGAAGAGTAATCTAAGAAACTCAGTGAGGTCAAAGATGACGTAACTCCAAAGACAGTGAAGCTAACTATCAGACCAGTGTGGCTATGAAAACATCAAGTAAAAAATTAAAACAGATGAGAAGGTAGCAAACAGAAATCCACCAACAAAACACATGAACAGCAGAACTAGATTATGTGAACAAAAGATTCAGAAAATAAAATGTGAAGAAAATTTATTCAATGGCTATTAATGACACTAAAAAGATTAATCTAAGACTAACTCAAGTTAGAGAAAGAGTACAGGAAAGAACACAAAAAATAAAAATCTGATTATACAAATCATTGCAGAAAATTTTCCAAGTACAGGAAAAGAATTCAACATAAGGAAATTGAGGCTTTCAGAATGCCAGATAACTCCAAAGGAAAAAGTTCTCCAAGAACATCACAGTCAAAAATTTCAGAAGTCTAACACAAGAACAAATTTTAAAAACACGTTAGAAAGAAAAAAACAAAATCACTGATGAAGGCGAGCGCAATAGGATTACAGCAGACTTTTCAACACAAACTTTAAAGGCCAGGTGAGCTTGGAGCGAAGTGTATCAAGCCCTAAAAGAGAAAATCTTCCAACCCAGAATAATACATCCTGCAAAAACTATCTGCTAAAATTGATAGAGAAATAAAAGCAATTTATGACAAAGAATATCTTCAGAGCACTCCAAAATACTAAAGAGTCTCAACACAGGCAATGAACAAAGGAAGCCAAAAAATCAGTCATGGACTGAATACACCAAGCAAGGTGAATAGATTAAACAAAAATAAAATGAAAATAAGGAAGACGGTAGAAAGAACACAATGACATGAGTAAGTCAACACTTTTCAGCGATAACTCTCACAGTAAATAGCCTCAACTCCCCAGTTAAAAGATACTGATTGCCAAATTGGTCAAAAAATAGTCAACGGTTTACTGCATACAACAGACAACAGTTTACTGCATACAACAGACAACATCCCCAACTGCTAGGCTGAACAAGGATGTAAACCTACAGTCCACACACCAGAACCCTAAAAGGAAGGAAAAAGAACAAACAAGAGGATCTATTTAGAAAGTCCTTGCCTGCACCCATGTCTTTATGACTTTTACTTATTTTATCTCTCAGCAGATGGTTTCTGCAGAAAGAGAATGGCCACCATCAGTAAACCAAATAAAAACAATGCTACAGAGGCTATGGGGACAAAGGAACACTTTACATCTTGGTAGGAATGCAAAGTGCTATCTCTACTACGAAAATCGGTATGGGAGTTTCTCTAAAACTAAAAGCAGAAATTCCACTTTACACATCTGTTCTCCTTCTAGGTATTTTCGTCAAAAGCTAAACATATATTGCAGTGAATCATGCATACCCATGTTTAAAACAGCATAACAAGAGTTAACTTTTGGAAGCGGTCTGTATGTCCATCAACAGATGAATGACTAAAGAAAATGTAGTTTTTAAAACACAATGAAGTATGACAATGCCACAAAGAGGGAGAAATATAAGTCATTGGTAGAAAAATGTATGTATGTTGAGACTATAATACTAGGTTAAAATAAACCAGCAGTATCATCTATAACATGACATTGTCTTTCATATGAGAAGCCAAAATATAAAAACAAAACAAAGAGTAAAATAAAAGATAATAGGAAACAGAGGGAAAGATCTTTTGCCAATGGGATGAAGACCAAGAGATGGGGGGAAGAGAAGGGTTTGGAGGATTTGTGGAAAAGGATGAAAAGAATTAAGATGTCACTGTATCTATAGCTATCTATCTATCTATCTATCTATCTATCTATCAACTACCTCTTCACAACTCCCCACAATGACTCAGTCAGTTTGTATTGCAAATGTGTAGTAATAAAAATAAAAATTAAAATGCAATGATAGGTGCTTCTTTTATTCTTCTCACCTATGGCACATAAATGTCAGGTCCTAGCCGCTCCTAGTATCTTCACTTCTTGCATTAAACAATGAAACAGAAGAGAGAACACAGTGATGCCGAAGGGGAAGCTGATGTAAAAGAATCCATAGCCACAAACACCAAATGTGGCTTTTTAAAAAAATTCAGGCTGACTATAAATGTGTTAATGTCTGCAGTATTAATTAAAATATTTTAAATGAGCTATTATTTTGGATAATTGTACCATTTTCTAAATTTTTAATGCATGATGACAATACTATAAAATTAATCCTAAGAAATACACACAGCAAATATCATGGTTTTAGATTACTCCTGACATATTTATTGTTCTTGGTCCACAGAATTAATATAGATTACTTTTTATAAAGGAGACATTGTGATTTTGTAATGTGTACTCTTAATTTTTCATCTAAAAGTATAGTTTTTGTTTTATCCATAAACTAATCTACCACATGTAGCTCTCTTAAAGGTTTCAAAATTTAAGAAAGCATTACACTAGCAAAGGAAAGATATATTTTACATTCTTCATTTAGAAATTAAAGATATAGATAAAACTGTATTTTTTAATCTTCTAAATGGTCACTTGGAATTGTGGTTCTTAACAGCAACTGCTATACAATCCATGATAAGTAAGGATAAAGTATTTTATCTGATTTATAATATTTAATTTACTGCAGAAATGTGCTAACACAATTAAATAATGGTACTGTGGGATGCAGAACATAACTGCAAACATGAATATGTACTTCAAATTAATTATAAAATCTAAACAACATTACATTAAAAATGTTTCAAGTACATTTTCTCTAAACTCTTGCCTCTATTTTCACTTATATTTCCTCCTAAAAATCCTATTTACTTACCTTGGATCATGATTCTAAGCGTTATGTGTTTAAGGGATTAAATAGAAATATGAACAAAGATACATAAATTAGTACTTACCTCTGTTATTATTTCATTCTTTATGAATATGATGAACATAATTCTTTAAAGACATGATATATTACATGTAACATGATGGATATACTATAATATATTTTAATATAATATTAAGAACAAAGTTTTATATAGGATAAACTTCCCCAGATTTAAGGGAAAAACATCATAGTTTCAGAAGAAATACAGATGCTGTTAGCTTGGTTACAAAATTTAAACTGAAACAATCCTACCTGATGAATCAAAGTTCACCTCGTTGCCAGGACTTGGACCTACATCGATGGACACGACTGGTAAAAGCTTCCGAAAGTCCCATAGCTTTATAACCCCACAGGCATCACAGGAACCTATCATGTGACCCTTGAAAATGTAAAATAAACAAAAATATGTTTTTATTTATACACTGCATATATAAATATTCAGAGTAACCCAGGAGGAAAAGCTCATGTTTATGTTACAGTTTTATTAACTCTGCAAAACTGCATTCTTTTAAACGTAAATGTATTCATTATATCTTTACCTTGCATATTAAGTTACATAAAGTGATATTCTTAGTACATGAAATTCAATACTAATTTTAGAAAAATACTTTTCAAGGAGGCATTTTGTGAAGAGGTGCAATGAAACAAACTGTACATACTCATATAATTTGACTATATGAATACATAGCATGTGTCACATAAATGATATACATAGTGTGTAAACTGTGTATCTGAAAAAAATCACTTCATCAGCACACCAGGCTATATGTGCTTGCAATTAGCGTTGATCCAGTCTTATGAACCACATACAGAGAAAAACAGGAAGATAAATGGCCACATAGAGGAGAGCTTCAACTAGAGGGCAGAATGACTAGAGTTGGTCCACTAATTGCAGTGAAATCATTCCTATTGTGGTCCAGTTAGACGAAATTCTCAATAAACGTATTCGAGTCACTTTGATAGTAAGTAATGAAGCAGGAAAGAAACTGGATAAAGAAAAACGGCGGGGGTGGGGTGGGGTGGATGAAATCTAGTGTAGTGACGACAGAGGAGGATACTGCCTCAAAGTGTCAGCACCTGGGGCTCAGCCACCAGCGCTCTGGGCTGTCTCACTCCTGCGGGACTCTCAGGAGAGGTGCTCGCAGCACCCACTTCACACCAGGGACCAGGGTTTCTGTCCTTTGGCGGCTTGCAATCTCCACTCATTCTTACTGTTTCACCATTTAATTTCTTTGCCCATTCACAATGAATGAGGACCGTTCGCATCAAGACAGCCATTCATGTTTATGATAAATCAGAATAACTTTCAATTTGATAAACAGTTTCCCTTTCCACTTCAGCTAAGTTTTTAAAATTCTAATGTCAAACTGCCCTTCTGTTTTCTTTTGAGTTTTTAAAATGTTAAAGGCATTTGCTGTTATTACACAATTTTCCTTCTTGTTATTTTGAGCTACCTCACTCTTTTCGTCATTCACATCCTAATTTGTATCCTTTCTGTAAAATATACATTAAGTATTACATTTCAAGTGGACTTTTTGTTTTTCCCTAACCACACCAATAATGCAATGAATTCCATTAGTTTCAAAATTCTGTAACTGTTGCCACTGGCAAAGTAATACAACAGCCTTGTACCCAATCAAATAAATTAGATGCTTAATCTTTTTTATGACTTAAAAGGGAACATAGAGAACTTGGAATGATCTCAGATATGTAAACATGTTTTGTAAGAACTGTGAGGAATCCGTGAATTTCATTTTAGAAAATGAAAGAACGCTCTCAGTATTAGCAGGGGATATTAATATTACACATTTGAAAAAAAAAATCTTTCTCCGGATATAAGGGCTTTCAATCATCTTTCAGAAGTCACGAAACAGTCAATTCTGAGAACACAGTAGATAAGTTTTAATCAGAATTTAATTTGAATGTTCCTTTCATCAAAGGCAAGTTATTGACTGGATATCTTTTTTCTAGGCTGGAGGGAATCTTAATATACGCTTTATCCAACTGAACATTAAAATTTGAGGAAAAGCACTAAAAATAAAACATTTTATTATTCTTACTAGATGAAAATAAATACTTCAAAACTTTTAAATATAATTATAAAACTTAATATTAATGTGTGATAGTTTAGTAATATTAAAAGAATTCAACATTTATTAAATACTTTAATGAACCAGGTCCTGTACCAAATACTTGTTAGCAAAAGAGTATGCTAATTTAAAAATCACACTACAGTTAGTCTAAATTTTCCATTGTTTTAGGAACTTAGGAGCTATGATAAAGTGTGCATTATGGTAGTATGATTAAAATACCTTAATAAGTGATATAAATAAGTTTGCATTTAGATTATTAATGAAAAGACACTGTAATAACTTCTTAATAATCTAAGCAGTGGAGCAGATGCATGGACTACTGCAGTTTTGGGGGTATAACAGAGCTCAACAAAGTATTTGCTAAATTGATATATGAATGTCTCCTTGAAACTCATCTGGAAGTTTCAGTTTAGCCCATTGCTTCTGTAGCAGTCTTGGGGTAAATGTAAATTCTCTCTCTCTCTCTTTTTTTTTTTTTTTTTTTTTGGTATGGGGTATTGAGCTCAGGACCTTACACTTGCCAGGCAGACGCTGTGCCACTTGGCTTTGACCTCATGCCTTGGTAAATGTATATTCTAATTGTCATGGTTCTGAATCACTTATAAAAGTGATAGAAAGGATAGAGAATCTGGAAATCAAAAGTTGGAATATCCTCAAGGCCCTCCGCCCACACAGGGTAAATCAGAGGGTCTTCTGCCAGTCTTCCAACCAACCTCAGACAAAATAAGAAACTAGCCTACTGCTGCTCCCAAAGCAGAATGTGTATTGTAAGGATCTGAGCTGAGGAGATGTGCAAAAGTGATTTGCTGATGGTGCACGGGAAAATCATTTTATTTAGAACCGATGACAAGCAAGACGGCAGAGGATAGCTACAGATAGGCACTTACACTGAGGTTTCAAAGAAAAAGTCTTAGAGATAGGTGAAACTGTGTGATAATTGAACAAAGTGTGAAAACTCAAGAGTCTTTGGAAATTCTCTGAAATACAATTCTGTTTATTCCGGTAATTGTCAGTTCTGATTCCAAGAAGAAAAATGTGTTAAAGCTGGTTGATGTGGAATTCTAAACTCAGACCGGACCCCTGGCTATGTTTTTAATACTGAAACTCCTACACACAGCATAGATCCTACTACACATCAGCACTTAATCTTTGAATAAATATTTGAATTAATGAGCATAAAAGTGACATTATCAGTGTGACTATATGTGATTTAAGAGATTTTTTTCAAACATATGAAATGTTAAGTGAGCTGAAGAATATTGTTCTGATTATGACCCAAATGAGTTACACTGCACAAATAGAATCCCACAAAGTGGACAAAGGACATTTGAGATGATAATGAATAGTCACCACTCCTGATTGCCCATGTTAAGTGTTAAAATAAAGGCCCTTTAATGGGAAGAGGCATACAGACATGAAGTTACTTGTAAGTTAGAGCAAAGGAACATAATTATAACCTAACTTCAACTAGGCTGCTGAAGCTATATTGAAAGAAAATTTAAAAGTATATACCTCATGGACCACAAATGTGGTTGTACTTTTGAAACTTTTAATATTACTTTTGAAGTTTGTTAACAATTAAAGGAAAAAGTATGAGAAAATTAATGTAGTACTATTTATAAATAAAATTTGAGAGTAAGTGAAATTTTTAGTAACAACCTAGCCATGGAAGAAATAAACCTCGTGTTGTGGATTCAGAAGCTTCTTTTATGCAAACTTGATACTAACAGCTGCAGGGAGAAGAAGCAGCCTGAATACAGGCTCTCTGCACACGGATTTCTGAGCATATTTATAGATTGTAAAACAAAGTAACAGAAAAAAAGAAGGCTTGGGTGCTAATGAGATCATTTATAATTTAAATGAATAATTAAAAGACTATTTTAATAAACCAATAGGACTCCATAAAATAAACATACTTTATGAGTACATAATTTTTTCTTTGTTTGCTTTTTGTCTTTTTGAGACAGGGTCTCACCACACTGTTCAGAGTGACCTCGAACTCACTTTGTAGCCCAGGCTGGCCTCGAACTTCCTGACTCTGGAGTGCTGGAATTAGAGGTATGTGTCACCATGTCCAATTGAGTACATAATTTTTAAAGCAAATTTTAATTAATTAATTAATTTATTTATTTATTTTGGTACTGGTAATCGAACTCGTGACCTGGCACTTGCCAGGCAGGCACTGCACTGCTGAGCTACAGTCCTGCCTAAGGCAGATTTTATAAACTTGGGCATTGAGATAAGAGTTGAGAGTAAAATGTTACTTTTCAGGTAAGTTAAGAAATGCCATAAAATTAGTACAATTTCCTGTATGAAACTCTTTATGTCTTTGTATGGCATGTGAGGAAGCAGTTGATTAGGTTATTAATTGATTGCAAAAACACACAGGTACAATTGGATTGCATTGAAATCTTCATTTTGATGAGTCAGCATTTTCTTAGTTCAACTCACTAGGAGATGTGTGTGTGTGTGTGTGTGTGTGTGTGTGTGTGTGCCTTTTTTCCTATCTTCTTTTATAAAGTTAAGCTACAGAACTCCATATAAATAAATAAAATAATTTTAGGTTCCTGAAAGCAGCACTTCCTTTCTGCACAGTTTCTTTAAAGCTAAACAAGACATATACAAAGATCTCTTCTCAAAGAGTTATACTGCTTAGTAGACAATTAAATAAATAAGTATACATCAAAGCTGCACACCTATGTATGCTAATAAACTAAGAATAGATATGTTGTTTTGTCTAACAGTGGTTCCCTATGAATTAGAATAATTGGTATATGTTCAATAAGTAATTGTAAAATACATGAATGACTACTTCAGGTGAATAATTTTTAACACATTAAAATAAAAATTATAGGCCTAATGTAAAACGTGAAAATTCATGCCAAACTATGGTTATGTTAGTCCTACCAAACTGTTGTTCTTCTGTCTTTATTGGTTTTATCATGTTGTATTTTACTGGATTTTATTATTTGTGATAGTATAGACAGAAATTTTTATAGGCAAAGAGATAATATAGAAACCAGTGTTCATTTCCTGTTAGCTGGTTCTAAATAACCTGTAATACTTTCATCATCTTGAATGGTTTCACTCTGTCTTGATATGTTTGATGGTATAGTATACAGTTATACTCAAATATTTCAAGGAAAGAGACACTATGGTAACTACTATTAAGTTGGGTTATCTTGTGGTGAAACTCTATGTTGATTAAATTGTTCTGCTTTGACCTGTATTGTTATGTTGTTATGTCCTCTTTTACCTCAATCTCCCCCCCCTTTTTTAAAAATTT